AAAGTACTCAGTACTCTGAAAAATACCCGATACTTAAAAGTATCGATACCTAAAAACTTGATCCTCAAAAGCACTAGATACTTCCCAACACTAGTAAAAACATATACATATGTACAAACATAAATATGTATAACATTTACACACAACCCATTCCATGCCTATGCCTAAAAGTATGCACACTTTGGTGAAACGACCAACTGATAAGTTAACCCAGCAAAGAAATGCGATCGCGAAGATCGAATTGATTATTCAGCAAAGTCATAGTTGAAAAGTGCTTTTGAAGCAACGTTGCAGTTAGAGTAGGTAGTTTTTTTTATCAAATTCGGTACTTGTTACTTTCTTTATCAAATGTGGTAATTTATTGTTACATTTTTGGTAAGTATGGTATATACTCCGTCACCCGTTCTGATACCATCTTCAAAGGAAGGTTCTGCATGGGAAAGAACATTTGCTTTCTGTCTAAAATTTAAAGCAACGAGTGCGTTTCCTGATATAGAAGTACTACATTATATCATTACCTACGCTGTCAGAAACACCAACAACTAAAATCTCAAGGTTTGGGGAAAATTTTCAGTTTTTAAATATTGTTTTTTTTCATATTTAGGACAATTTCATTTTTACTCCAAACCTACATATCCCCTAGCTTAGAATGAAAAGTTGCTAAGTAAATTTTTTGTGAAAACCTATATCTTGTTATGGGAGACAAAGGAAATTAAAAATGCGCCCTGGCCAAATATTTATTTACAGAAAAAGCACAGCATGCGCGCAGAAAATTCTGAAGATATTGTGTCAAATACAAGTGAAGAAATGCGACGTTCTATAACCGAAATTTTAGATAAATTTGCGGTGGAGATATCTTTCAGGAATTTATAGAAGCTTGATGAAGGCTTTGGTTTTCTTCGCAACTTCAAAATAACAGAACAATTACCTTGAGCGAATCAAACAAATATAAGGATCATGAAAAAGAAAATAAGATACCACAAACTTGTTTCCAGGTCGACTGCTTCCTTGAGAAACCTGATCCACTGGCTTAAATTAGAGATTAAAGGCAGGTTTCTTACAGATGATACCTTATCACAGTTTTCCACCCACCTTCGATGATAATACAGGGCCCTGGTTCCAGACACTACAGCCCACCCAGTTTTCTCTGATTATCATATGGATGGTGTGGTGCTGTCAGTCTGGGCAGAAATGCACCACTTAGATTTCCTGTGCCTAGAGTGGCAAGTAAATTTAGATATAGTCCATACCCCTCAACCCAACGAAGCAACCACTTTGCCTTGCACACTTTGCAGTTTCTCACCGCTTTCCACCAAAGGCTTAAGCTCAGTTAAGTCACAAGAATTTTAAGATACGTTGACAGCTTATTTATATCCTACTTTTTTGCTTTTACACCTTCGTTTGCTTGTACTTAATATGTGCAATTACCCCCTTCGAGTTGTCATCTGCTATTTTAAAGCTCGGCAAAAATGAACTATAAGGAGCCCGATCCTTATGTACAGATCAATCTGCCCCTCACTTGTGCTTGAGAGAAGCGAAAAGAAGCGAATGGGTTGAAATCTCCGGGGAACAAATGCAAGACCTTACCGGCCTTGGACAAGAAGACAACTCTGACCTTGAGGGTTTCAAAATATATCTCCTTCCTAAGCAACTCACTTGGATAGATAACAACCATCGATACGATACCTACACAGACTTCTGCAATTGGGCTAGTAAGCTCCTATCGGGATCTGAGCCTTGACGATGTTGGAAAAATTATGGCTGAAAACAGGCATGTGATCATCTATGTTTCTGGCATCGTGGGCCGCTGCTTCTAAGCGGATCCTGCCTAGTTCCGGATTACACAGAAAATGGGCAACAAGCAGTAGAAGAAGAAGGACTAATCGCTTCCCATGGTCCAGTTACAATACTAGTTCTTCGGGTATCCATTTGGATTGGAATTCTGGCTTTAAGGTGACTGTAATAAAGCGGGAACAATTATTGGGAGAAAGAAAAATGGGAACAGGATTTCAAGGTTTATTTGCGGAACTTACGACAGCAAGGTCATACAGGTTATTGTATCTTTTAAGAACGAAGGTGCTAAGCTATATAATATGCCAATATGTAAGACCATTGAACCCTCATATTATGAGCCGGAACCAATGTTGAAAACTCGTTATACTATTTAGTTCCAAAAAAAATATATAAACAAAATTTATTGACCATATACGTATGTGCGCAATGCTATTAAAAAATTCATCACTATTAACTTTGAGCTTCGATATAAATACATACATATGTACATCATAATTTCACGGTTCACCAATTACGACAAAATAAATTTAAAACAAAACATTGATTAACTACGCTGACAAACACTGCCATACACAGCCACACGTAGAATTAAATAGTTAGTACAGCTACAAAACTCCTCCATAAGAAAATTAAGATACTGAAATTCGTTATATCATTTTTTGGAGCCACCACAAGCAAGAGCGTTCAATGCGATATCATAATTTTTCCAAAGCAATAATCCAACTAGTAATACTAACACTAACGGTACACGTTAGATATCCGTGGGATTGTATGCCCACAATTAAAACGCCAAGCAGCCTTACATCAGCCTTTGCAACGCACCTGCCTATGGAAGTGGGCAAACCATTGTTGTGGCCACCAATTTTCGGCAAAAGTGACAGTAAAGCAGCGGCGGAGAAGTACGACAAGGAAATCGAGCGGCGTTCACACTGGACAACGGTAAGTAGACAGTAACAATTCGATTAGATGCATACAATTGATGACATTCGCTAAAACACTCTGCATATGTACTCGTACATACATAGACTGATTGGCTGGAGAAGCACAAGTACGCCGTGGAAGTGCACAATGTCACCACAACCGACGGTTATCAGCTGCTTTTGCATCGCATACCCAAATTAGGCAAACAGCCCGTCTTGCTGGTACACGGACTGCTAACTTCATCACTCGCCTGGTTGCTGCTCGGACCGGGCAAGAGCTTAGGTATGAACGGAGTGTAGTTTCTATTCAACTAAGCTTTTGCTTTTGTCACCTACACTGACCCATTTGTGTACACCATACATACGCACACACACACACCAAAGTACCCACATGCCGGAGCTCTAATGTTTTGTTTCTTCTCCTGCCTTACCTCGCCTAACTGGGTGCTGCTTTCAGCGTTTCTGCTCGCCGACCGCAACTACGATGTTTGGCTGGCGAATTTGCGCGGCTCAGCATATGCGCGCAGTCACACGCAATTCAGCGCCGACAGCTCGGACTATTGGAGCTTCAGCTTCCATGAAATGGGCGCCTACGATCTGCCGGCCATAATGGACCACATTGGGAATGAGAGTTCGTTCCAGCAGTTGCTGCTAATTGGACACTCCCAGGTGTAGTACCGTCCGTATGCTTAGTTACCGTTGTCAATGGTGTTGGACGGACAGACGAACGAACACCGAAAACGGTCGATGTGTGCTAAATTGCTGTTGTTTTTGTCACGCTTAGGTGCTGTTGTTATCTACATTGCAATTGTTTTTGTTCTCGGCTTTATCTTTTGTTTTTGCACTTGCTTTTGTTATGCTTTTGCTGTGCTTTCGTTGCTGTACACATGTGTTGTTGTGGTCGGTGGTGGGAGAAAATGTAAATATTGTGTCGTTAATGCTTCTTACGCCATTGTCTGTTTGGATCTTCTTTGTTTTGTGCTTTCATTGGGCTGCTTTTAGGCGCTAAACGCATTCCTAGTTTTGTGTTCTATTCACCCCGAGTACAATGAACGCATTCTGTTAATGCAAGCGTTGGCCCCAATTGTGCAATTGCACGATTTTGTGCGTTTCAAATCGGATGATGTGCGGCGGATAATGCGCTTTGTGAAGGTGAGTCGAGGAGGATGTTGGGTTAAGGTACTACAAAGATTTTAAAGGTAGGAGTTGGTAACATGTTGAAATTTTGGTTTAGATATTGAAAAAACAAATTTCAGTTATTGAAATGTAGCTGTTTAGTAGCTTCCTAAAAGGGTAGAGCTTGGGAGCCTAGACGAAGCTTGGTAAATTGGGTTCGTTCACTGCTACCGCAAAGGGTTATTAGGATTAATCAGACGAAAGTGTGGAGTGCATGATAGAAATCCTCAGAGCAGTATACTTCCTCCTTTGATAAGGTGCTTGATACTTTATTCCCTACTTGACAATTATAATGGTAGTTCCCAGAAAAGCACAGAGAACACTGCCTTTTTGACGACTGAGTCGAAGATCGACATATCTCAGCAGCCAGTTCGAAACCGCCCTATATCATAGAACTAAGAACGCCCTATTTCAGAATTCACTTCAAAAACGCCCCATCTCAGCTCCGATTCAAAAACTTCCTATCTCAACATATTTGCTAGATATTTTGACTTGAGATAGGGCGTTTTGAACCAAATTCAGAGATAGGGCGTTGTTTAAAAGTTTTCTTAGATAGGGCGTTTTCGAACTGGCTGCCGAGGTATGTCGATCTTCGACTCAGCCGCTAACCTAATCAGAAGATGTGCGGTGTACAGCTAGTTATCTGCTTTCATTGAGAACACAGCTTGTATGATTGCTGACTGGACAATTCTCAGAGTACAAGTACCTGGCTGTGACCAACAAAAAAAAAAAACATTTACATCCCCAGTCAAGCTGCTCGTTCACGAACTTTCAATATACAACACTATCGATGCCAAATTTTTACAACTTCGCTCTTCTCCGCAGGGCTGCAACAATGATACAGCAACAGAATCAACAACCGAGAGTTTGTAAAAATATCAAACAACGTCAGGACCGGCTCTTAATGCTTTGTTGAATTTGCCGCCTCTGGATTTAGCGAATCAAGAGAAGGCAATGAAAATGGTGTGTTGACTGCACTCTTTTGATCTGTGGCACGAAGTTTAGAGTTCTGTACGCAGAGGGTTGTTCAGAAGGTCGTCAGATCAATATCCTTCGTTTTTGGCACCTAATGACAAACTGATACTTGGAGTCCCTTTGGAAGACAGAACTTCATTAGATTTCCTACAAGTGAATAATGGAGAGACTCAGACACTCTCTTGGGAAGCTTCGAGAAAACTTTCTATACCGACAGCTCACAGAGTGAAAACGGTATTGGAGTTGGATCGCATCTGGACGGTAACTTCAGATACTTCACCGCTTTGGGTGCAATGGCGACGGTCTTTCAATCGGAAGTCTTTGTAATACTAAAAGTGGCAGATTGGATAATTGGCGAAAGGTGGCGCGGAAATAAAATCAGGATCTACAGTGACAGCCAAGCTGCTCTGAAAGTCCTGGAAACCGCTCGAACCTCAAAGCCCATCCCCACCTATATATTCCCTTCCTCTAAATAATGCCTCTTGGCCTTAAGTACAATGAGCAATACGGCCTGAGTGCTTGGAAAAATTTGTGTTTGGTCTTCGGGCCAGCCACAATTCCATTCCATTCCATTGCAAAAATGAGAACTGTTCACAAAGGGTGAGCCAAAAAATTTAAGACTTAATTATTTCCATGAATTCTTGGATAGTGTCCGGTGCCCACATTCAGGTTCAAAAATGCGCTGATCAACCTACGGACAGAAAAACTTTTCAAAGCAATTTCTTCAAAGTAACAAACCGTGTCAAATATCTCTCGAAATACATATTGTCCTGCATACATATTTAAATGGTACTTAATACGTCTGCCAATCTCTCCGACCACTTTCAACCCGTCCGTGGGGTTCCACTGACCTTTGCTTCTCCTTCTAAGGAGCAAAAGAACCAACTCAAGAATACACGCGGGCTGTAGTTAGTTAAAACTAAGAACACAGATAAATTAAGAAACCCAAAGCGAGTTGGTTGTGTGCTCCGATGAGGCAATCTCACAACTAAAATATCATAAGCTATTTGCGCTCGTACAGCCAAAAAGCTGCAATTTCATGTCGAACTATACCGACAGGGATGCCGTTGAACGAAAAGTATAGTGGATGAGCTGGCGTTCTCTAAAAGCTGTGTACTGGGCATCCCTTTCTTAGGGAGAAGTAAGGGGAAAAAATGTTGTGTGNTTACATTAAAAACTTCCCTGCCTACATGTTATAAGTCCAAAGTAAAATCCGAGTCATATGAACTCTTTCCCGCCGGCTATCTACGCAAAAAATGTCTCCAACGCAATTCCGACCATCGCCAGACTTGTCTGCAACTAATGAGGGCCTTTGCGGGTAATGGCCGCT